AATTCTTTCATATCTCTAGGGTAGAAATAGGCATTTAGTTTGTAATGTATCCAAATATAAGCATCTGTACAAGTTTGGATGGTCTATGAATATGAAACTAAATATGAAACTTCTTTTGTGTCAGTTTTCTTTAATATTTTAATGTCATGGTTGCACATCTGGACAGCAGTGATTTCTTCTTTAAATGTGTAAATGTGTTGCATTTTTAGAGACCATATTTGAGTAAAGCAATTTGAGTTGTGCAACTACTCATTTTGAACACAGCAAAACATCCATTTAATTCAAAGACTATTTCCAAGGAAAAGAAGTAAACACACAAAAGAAACTGGTTTGTATCAGCATTGGCTTTTGAAAGGTTTTGGCTACAGAGTACTCAAAGCTTCCAAGGTTAACATAATGAAGATTCGGTTCCTTCTTGTTCGAAGGGATTTAAATAAGTGAAAGAATTTACTCATGGGAAAAGTATAATATGAAGTGTTTTTAAAATAATTCATGGGCCTTTTAACCCCCTCTTGTCATACTAGTTTTCAACATGCACCTTAAATTGGTGTTTAAAAGCAATAAGTAGTACCCACTGTCCCATAATGATTTTGGTAATGAAGTTTACCTGAACCCACTTTTACTCATCCATTCATCATTGATCTTCTTCTTACTTCATCTTTCTGGTCACCTCCCTTATATATTTTTGTTCTGGGAGAATAATACCAAACATGTCACATTTTTATTCAGATTAGCAACATCACTATTAACATTTTCAGTCAAATAACATTTTTCTTGCAAATCAAAAAGTGTCATGTTGTTTTGTTGGATTGCAATTAAAAGTCCTGTAATAGCACAAGAGATCCTCTACAATCATGTAAAAATATATGATCTATAGATCCAATGCTGTTTCATTTTGGAAATGTATATTTTAAATGTATAACCACATATTGTATTTTATGTTAATGACAAATGTTCAGCAAATATTGAATATACAGGAAGAAATATGCTTTTAAAAATAATGTTATCTACTTATTCTCTGGCTGCAGTCTAGCTGGCATGCTGCATTTGGGGCTGTCTATGTGTGTTTTTTTAAATGTCATCTTTATTAGTATTACATTCAAGGAATAGTACCAAGAATCAGTTTCTTTCAAGACCTTCCTCCAGTGTGTGGCATATAAGTCTGTGACGAGCGACATTACAGAAGGTCATGTCACTTTTAACTGCTTGCATTACATCTTTCTGATTTCCCTAGTGCCCTTCCTTTGTTTGATTAATACTACTTGCTTTCAAGCAAGGTATCAGAAAGCATAATTTGGAAAGAGAATTCTAGAGCCGATCTGAGATATTCCCCCTTAAGAAAAAAGAGAAAAAAACGAACTTCGTAAATGTATCTTTTTCTACTACATGAATTTTTCGTCACTCTTCATTTATTCCTTTTCAAGGAAATCCTATGTATAGTCTATGTTAATAAATTATTGCTGACAGGTATTTTGGCAAGTGGACTTTGTATACTTGAAAACAAAACTGTGTAGTGCTTATTTGGCTTTATTTGAAGAGGAAAGAGCTGGAATTTGATAGCAGGACTCCTTTCTTTTGTTTTCCTTAGTTAAGTGTTAAACTCCAGCACTCTCGTCCCAAATAGCAGGTGTTATTTGATTTCTCTGGGAAGGGCTGCAATTTTGTGCAGTCATTAAATGCACTTCAGTGATATATACGGTTTGTTTTTAAAAGCTCAGTTTGCAGTTTCGATGTTCATTGCATTTGCCTAGAGCTCATGTCTTAAAGCACAGCTCAGCTTCTCAGACACTCTTGTCCTCAAAGCTATCCATTTCACTGGACCATTAAAGCCTGAAAATTAGTTGTGAAAGCATCATCATTTTAATTTGGAATCTTTATCTACCCTTCTACCTGTACCCCCTCTGTGTTTCTTAGGGCCACATGAATCAGAATTTTGTGTCATTAAGAGCACAGAATATTTTGTCCAGGAAAAAATATGGCATTTAACTTCCAAAAATTAATGTTTAAAATATTAAGTTGATGTTATTTTATTTTTATTAACAGCTAACATTTTTGAGTACCTACTTTGATACAGGCACTGTATTAAGCACTTCTATGCATTACCTTATTGGAACCTTAATGAACACTGTGAGATAGGTGCTATTATCATCTCCATTTTTAAGGCACCTTCAGCTTCACCTGAGCAAAAATGTAATAGTGGGTTATGTTCTGAAGCAGCTTAAAGGCATCAATAGGAAACCATCTGTATTATAAATCCTTACTTGTAGATGTTTATGATGTAACTTTAAAAAGGCACTGGAGGAGGGGAAGAGCCCTCACTAGAGCGCTAAAACACGGCAAAAAGGCCTCTCGCTAACACAACACTTTTCTGCCAAATGTAAAAGCAAATGGTTGTATTGGGTGGTTCTGGCTGCACATTTGTGGAGCAATTGTGCGTAGCCAATTACCCACTTGTGCAGGGTAAGAACAGTTTGGGTTTTGCAAATGAAGAGCCTGATTCTGTAGACCTCTTTGAGTCATACTTGAACATAAGATCCACAGCTGATTTGTAAAATGTGTAAATTAAGCTACTGGCTTGTTTATGGTTTAATCTTACTTTGAATTTTTAAAAATTAATTTGAAGATAGTGAAGGTCTTCCAACCTTAATGGTTAAATATTCATGTGTTCTATTTCCAGGCAAATGTTTGAAAGCACTTTGAATATTCACTTTTATAAATCTGCATCATTGGTTAGATATAAGTCCTTCCAGGTGAATAAGTCAGTTCTGTGGGATAAATAGTAGGCACTTTACCCAAAAGTGTGTTAAATGATATGAAGAATAGATGATACATTCACATATTCACTCAATCAACAAATATTTCTTGAACACCTATTATGTTCCTGTCGATCTTCTAGGCACAGTCCGCTACCATTCTGCCTTCATAGCACCTGAAGTATGATAGTAAGTACTGCAGAGAGGAGGCATATTTTATACAGCCTTAATTATAGCAATCTATAATAATGAATCTGCATGGGTAATTTCAGCAAAAAATATTACTTCATTTAAATCTAAATTTAAGAGATAATTTTATTAGAGATACAAAATAATCATCATTTAAGAAAATCTAACAAGGGTTAGATGAATTCTTCTGATGCAACACAATGTACCAATGTAGCTTCTATTCCATTTTAAACGTCCATCACAAATAGCCCAATCTGGAATAGCCTGGCATATATCACTTAAAATATATATTGTCATTATTGTCTGTATATTTGTGATGTGAATACTTTAAATGTGAGGAAATTAGAGGTTAACATGAAAGTTTATGTGATCAACCCTGTTTAAATTTTACTGGATTATAAGCCATTTGAACGCTGATAGGAGTGAAGAGGAAGTATTTGTGGGTTATCTGTGTATTCTCACATTACCTAGCACCATGTGCCTTGGACAGAGGAGTTTATAATACATGCTATGGAGTAGCTCAATATAGTTAGAGAGACTGTCAGAAGTCCATCTTTCTTGTTGAAACTTCATTGCTTTATATGTCTCCGAAGTCAGTGTAAGCTCCCATCAGATATACAAAACTGCATATTGTGCTACTGTGATTCTTTTGAAATGTTGAATGTCCAAATGAAAGACCTCAAAATCCTATCATTTAACAGAAAATTTAAAGCATGATGTTAAATGAGGAACAGTCTCACAGGTTGTCAGATGCTTTCATTATATATTCATTCATGAGACCTAGAGGTTTGTGTTTGGGTTATGCTGTTAAATCAGTTAATGCTTTTAGAATATTTGAGAAAAATTATTAGGAATAACAGAATTCTGATATGTTATCTCAGTTTATGTAACTTTTCATAGTACAATCTTGGATATTAAAGTGTTCACTCATAGAATGTTCCTGTTTGTATCAGGAAAAAAATACCCACAGGAAAGAAGGGCTGGATGTCTCTGTCCTCTAAAGTTACAAGCTTTGGGAGAAAAGTTTTAAAATATTTGATCACCATGATTCTGTTGAGTCTATTCAGAGATACAGGATCAGAAAAAACAAATTTAAAAATCATATCAAATGTCATAAACACAATAAGTTGGGTCTTACCTGAATAATAACACTTCTTCCAAGGTTTCTTAAATTGTAAGTTCCCGTGGAGTGTATATGTGTATGTTTGTGAAGTGTGTAAAACCATTTTAAAAAATCTGAAATGGAGTGAAGTCCCATTCTGAATGCCTATAGTTATATGTTGATCAAGGCAAAGGGAAGTTATTTGGCAAATCTTTTGGCAAAAGTTATTCCATTCTGCTGAGGTAGGCTAAATAGCCATTAAAAAATACATGTGTGCATATCCACCTACGTGGGTCATACACACACTATACTCGTGTAATTACAGATTATTTTAAATTTTCATTTAACAGTATACATTCTCATAATTCTTATGTACAATCACAGAGAATTAAAATGAGAGTTTTGGGTAGTCCACAAGATCAAAAACTAAGAGAGGCAAGACTTGACATTTATACATAGGAATTAAAATTTGAGCCATAAAATATATTGTTAGTTTTATGCCATAGACCACCAGCATGAATCAATTAACAGACATGGTTTTTTAATCTTAGAGTTTGTTGAAAAGTAAATTAGAAATAGCAGAGCTGTTTCATGCTTAGTTATCTAGTTCTAAATTTAAAGTGCCTGATTAATACAGCAGAATTGGTAGAAGGGAAATTTCCTGATTTAAAGCATCCCCCAAATTAACGTTGGTTTACCTTATGCATATTTCAAATTCTTTAAGTTGTCACAAAACATTTCACATAAATCTGGTTTCCCTAACTGGGATTCAGTTCCCTGATTTTAACCAATTAAAGGCAGAGCATTTTCCTAATAACTATCTCTAGATCAAATATTCTCTCTCAGTGTGCCTGTTTCAAATGTTAATAAAGTTTTCATTTCCAAAAGGTTCAAAATGACAGAACAAAATTCTCTCCTTTAAGAGCACAAAAAACGACTTCTGTTTCTGTCTGCAGGTAGTGGAGGACATGCTAGAGGACGAGGAAGAAGAAGATGACAAAGATGACAAGGTAATTATCTTTCCCAGCACTTGGGTACCTGGGGATGGGAAATGTAGACATGACACTGTTTTCACAGACAGTTAAAAAAGGAGTTGAAGTGTTTGAGTCCAGAAAATTGGACAGTGCTGTTTATCATCCTAACAATACCACTGCATGTTGCAAAGAGGGAGAGAAGGCTATAAATCCTCTTCGCTTTTGTCCAGAGCTGGGTCAAATATTTTTCTGCCAGGAACAAAAAAAATAATAATAATTCAGCTTGTCTGGAACTTGATAGCTCTTGTGAAGATAACAGCAGTGACGACTGTTTTTGAAGGGCAAAAATTTGTCCTATCTTGAGTATTACAAATCGGGCTTTGCTTTGGGGGAAGAGGAGAGTGAAAAAATATCAGCCTGCATGAGTTCAACATGGATATTGTCATCTGTAATTTTTGAACAATTGCTCAGCAAAAGGACATGAATGTGCAGAGTGCTCCAGAGGACATTTAAATAACCCCAGTGAGCACTGCCTTTGCCTAGGTTTGGAATGTCCCTGTGGTTTCTGCATCAGGAAAGCCCATTCAGAGAGGCTTATATTCAATCACTGGTTGGTTTGGGGATGGTGACCACAGTAAATAACAGCCAGTTTCTGGGACTGCTTGGATGGGTTGTCCCCTAGGGAGAGGGACAACTGAAGGTAGGAATTAGAATGACCTTGCACCACTGCAGCAGTGGCTGGTGTTGGAACTGCCGCTTTCTATGACAAGGAGGATAGTGATGCTGTTATATTTCCGGACCTAAAATCTGAAAAGTCCTACGGTGAGATTGGGAGGTGGGGAGAGAAAATCGTTAGTTATTTCCACATTGTTTGACATGTAAAACCAGATTTTTGACCTTCACCAGAATCTGACTTACGTTATAGTAAAGCAGTGAAATTTTTTTGAAGAAAGGAGGAAAACAGTATATTTTAATTTTTGCCCTTGACCTTTGATTCCAATAGAGATATATAGTTATATCCTAGTGTAAGAATTTGTGAGCCACCAAATGCTGTGTCTCCAAAAATAAAATAATTTGTATGTTGGAAGCATGCATTAGAAATGTCAAAAAAAAATTCAGTGGTTAACTCTCCACATGATTTTTCCCTAATATTCAGTGCTTGAAGGAAAACGGAAACATACCACACACATAGACACACACACACACAGAGACACACACACACACTTTCTCCCTTCTAATGCTATTTCAAACATTTTTAAATGGACAGCGCTTTTCTGTGAAATTTTTCTTCTGTATATCATTTAGTCATTAGCAACATCATCAAACATTAGCAAAATCTCCTTCCTGCAAAAACACATATGTGCTTGTTTTTAATGTTAAATAACATGAGCATACACTTCTGGCAATAAATGGTATGATTTATTGCTAAGGTCAGTTGTAGAGCTGTAGAGAGCTTGTATTTTACCTCAACATGCCAGCTCTGAATCATCATTTCTCTGCTGATAAACACTGAGCTGCCATCCATTTATGGCCATTTTCTCTTGCTTGTTGCTGCTTTATTATTAAAGCCACCGTAAAGATCCAGCCCAGCAGCAGGCGTTTTCCCAGAAATGTTAATAAATGGAAACCTTAGTGAAGTCTAGTACTTAATGTCCCTGCTTTTGATGTCAACCTCTATGTTTTTAGCCAGTTTGTTGATATTCTATACTTCTAATCTCTCCCCTTTTTATGGCCATTTTTAATGGAGAGGATGTTAGGTATGGGAAATAGACACACCTGGTTAACCAGTTCACCAAAACATAGATGTCAAGTGGAACATGCCGGGGGGAAACAACACCAAATCTCTGGAGTAACATCTCTTGTAATCTAGTGTTTGGTAGTCGGAAATTGACACCCTGCTTCTAACACATTTTCAGATCTAGTTACCAAAGTTGATTGAAAGTGAGTGCTTAAATTACAGTGTGAATTCAACTGTATTCTTCTACACAGAATACCGACAAGCTGTGTGTTTTCCATGTGAAAGGATTGTGAGCTGATTTTCATAAATCCAACCCTTTTTTTTGAGTGATAAAAAGGAGGTTTTTCTTTTTTACTCATAATGCAATTGATAGCATAAAAATTGTATCTGAATAAAATCTCAAATGTAATAATTTACAATAGACTTTTAAGTGTTTGCATAATGGAGGGAAGAATCTTAGAGTGGACGTCTTGAAATATAGTTTTTCCTATTAGAAATGGAAATATGAAAGGATCCTGCAAGGTTCCATTTACCATCTTCCATCTCGACTGGCTCTCACAGCGGTAAATGTTCAGTCTTGGCTATCAGTGTGTCTGAGCGGGAGAAGGGTAATTTCCTACTTTAAAAAATTCGTTGGTTCCTCTATTTAAAGTTTGTGTATAGAGTCATGGGTAATGGAATTTCATGAGAAAACAAATGTCTTCTTTGCCATACGAGCAGGTACTGACCTCTAGCTCTCATTATTTCTGTTTTCTCATATGGTATAATAGTAAGGTCAGGTCAGTGGGTCCTCTTATAGGATAAAAGTAAAAAAGATTAATAAATGTGCCAAAGCCTCACTTTAATTGAACCTGAAGCATATGTTGGGAGTATGTAAAATATGTCCCAGATGTTTCACCAGGGCTAGTGTCTTAGCTTTCCCTGATCACCACAAGGCAGCTATTAGTCCTATAACCTTTGGACTTGGGGGTAAATGGGGTATTACGTGGCACAGAATGAGAGCACCTGTTTTTCATTCCGCCAAGACCCCTGACAGGCTTTCCCTAAGCCTATCCACATGTTTTCACTTAGCAGATTGTTGGGCGATTATGAAAAGTGTCTTTCTTTAGAGCCAGCATTGATATTAGTCACTGACAATGAAACGGCAAGTCATTGGCTACTTGACAAGGTCCGTGTGGGCATAAAGTGAAATCTTTTATTTCATTTGAGCTTAGGGTGTTTTCCTTTAGCATAATTATATACATGACAAAGATACAGGAATAAGAAGTTAAAGCAGACAAAATTATAATTACTTAATATAATAGCTTTGTAATACCTTTTCTTTAGCCCTGCCTCTAGTCACCTGGGAAGACTTTGGATAAAGTTAGTAAAAGCTAAGTCATGCTTTACCTGGTTTCCCATAATTTGCAGTTCTTCTAGATTATGGCTTTTAAATATTTTTTTCTTGAGTTCTTTTTTTTTATTTAAAGAGCTAATCATTATTCAGGTGAGGGTTTGTGATCTACAGACTTACCCTTCATTCTCAAACCCATTGTTCACATTTGCTTACATCTAAAATTAGGCAGCCTCTCTTTTAATCCAATTCCATGGTTTTCACAAAGACAGAGAAGGGTTTTATATGGAGAGTCTTAGTTATGAATCATTGACTTGTTAATATTTTCACTTATCTTGCATTATGTAGTAGCGCTATGTTAAGCTGCGCTGAAGATGACATTTTTCCTGAATTAAATGTTAGAAAGACATCATACTGTGTTCTCAATTCCCTTTGTTGTAGAGCATTCTCTGAACCATCAACCACAAAGTCACAGTTTGATCTGATTTTTTGACCTGACACCAAATCCTGCCTTTGTGGTTAATAGAATATCTTAGCAAATGCTTAGCTAAATTACCTAGGTGGAGCTATCAACAAGCCATATAATAGTGTTTTTCACCATGTTATAGATAATAATACAGTGGTCAGTCTGCATAACCTAGACATCTAATTAATGAAGATCGGCTTTCCTTTTGTAGTTTAAAAAGTTAGGCATGCTTCCCATGGTGCATCCTACCCTTGTAATAAGATCCAGCTGCGATATCAGGAAGCAGAAGATAAAATACAGGTTTTCCTCAGAAAAAGCATGGATTCAAATGCATGGCATTCTAGTAATGTTTATTGATAAAAGATATTAAAATGTTCAGCCATTTATGCTTACGTTACTTCTCCTTCTTCAACCATTATGTCAAGGTTACTGTGTTTCAAGAGTACTAGATGTAACAAGTGAAACATATCTGAGATAGTTCAAAATAAACAGATTCTTTGCTTTAATTCTTGAAATCTGTGTTTTCTGGTTCGAATCTCCAGCCCTAAAACATGTATGTAATATAGCCAAGATTCAGGCATCTCTGGCATCTCAAATCAACTATGAGAGTTTGGGGGGAAGATAAGTGATGTGATATGAGAGAAGATTTTAATGTGAGAAAATGGCATTTTCTAGTTATATTCAATGAAATAACTGCACAGTGGGGAAAAAGATAAAGGCTTTGGAGAAAGGCAAGAAGAAAGGAGGCACAAGGAAAATACTTCTTTTTCAAAATTCCTAAGCCACGTTTAACTGGAATAGCATTGTTTTCATTTATTTGTTTGCTGTTGCTGCATAACAGATTGCCACACAGGTAGAGGCTCAAAACAACACTCACTGTTTAGCTCTCAGTTCAGTAGATCAGAAGTCCAGCACAGCTCAGTTGGGTTCTCTGCTCAGGGTGTGACACTCAAGGTATCAGTCAGGCTGAGTTCTTACCTGAGGGCTTTGGATAAGGACCCACTTCCAAGCTCATTCAGGTTATAGATAGAATTCAGATCTTTATAGTTGGAGGACTGAAATCCTTGGTTTCTTGCTGGCTTTCTGATACTGGTTGCTATTTTCCATGGCTTCCCCCATCTTTAAATCTATCAATGGAGAATCTCTGTTGGGTTGAGTTACTCCTATATCTCAAATCTCTTGGAAAGAGACAAGTTCCTTTTAAGGGTTCACCTGATTAGGCCAGGCCCACCAAAGACAATCTCCTTTTCTTAAAGGCAATTGTGCCATAAGGCAATTAAACATAATCTAGTCATGGGACCACCTATTTCATCTGATATGATTTGGCTGTGTCCCTACCCAAATCTTATCTTGAATTGTAGCTCCCATATTTTCTATGTGTCATGGGAGGGACCTGGTGGAAGATAATTGAATCATGGGGTGGGTTTTTCCTGTGCTGTTCTCGTGATTGTGAATAAATCTTATGAGATCTGACAGTTTTATAAAGGGGAGTTCCGCTG